GGAACGGAAGAAGGACGGACCGACTAGAGAAGGTCACGTGACGGATCACGAAGAATAGGAGTGATCCAACGAGATCAGTGAAGGAGAGATGGATATATAAGTGACAGGACTCCCAGGCATTTCTGTCAGAGCCACAAGTGTCATCCGAGGCGGGCCGGCTTCCACCAGGAAGGAAGCCGTTTTGTGGCGAATGAGGAGCCGCTATCCAAGATATTGGCCGAAGTCGGAGGAACACAGACATACGGAAGCAAACATCCAGAATCCAAGAGAGAACCTCGGCTGGCTATAAGTAAGGAGTCGAGACGAAGGAAGATAGAGAGGGCAGAGATCAATGAACTACTGTGGACACCCCTACCTGCCATCACCAAGTGACCACCAGTGACCACCAGGTGACCACCAGTGACCACCAGGTGACCACCAGTGACCACCAGGTGACCACCAGGGGACACGCCTATTTCTCCCTTCACTCTGTACTATCGCCTTCGGTCCAGGCCGTAACCTGACAATTTCATAGATATACAGTCTCTACTTCAGTGATCAATCTAAGCATCAATCTAACCCATTGGTGAGGCAAACTGCCTTGACGACTCTATTCCCAGTTACCCTACCAATACTTCAGTTACCCAGAGCCCGATACTCCATACGTCGACCCCGATATTATTGCTAAAGGACTCCGCAGCAGGACTTACTTACTAGCACAAACCCTTACAGACTCTTTAGTGGTTTACGCAGCTAGACTATTAGAGATTTCGTTGCACATAGCCTAGTACACTATATTGGAACCCTATAACTTCCTGAGTAAGGGTTAGGATTAACTACCTTTTTAGGGATTACTATCTTAGAGGCTTATATTCGAATTTATCCTAGATATACTGTAACGAAACCTCTAATAGTCTAGCTGCGTAAACCACTAAAGAGTCTGTAAGGGTTTGTGCTAGTAAGCAAGTCCGCTGCGGAGTCCTCAAGCAATAATATCGGGGTTTGACGTATGGAGTAGAGTGCTTTGGGTAACTGAAGTATTCAAGTAGGGTAATCGGGAATAGAGTCGTTAAGGCAGTTTGCCTCACCAATGGGTTAGATTGATGCTTAGATTGATCACTGAAGTAGAGACTGTCTATCTATGAAATTGTCAGGTTACGGCCTGGACCGAAGGCGATAGTACAGAGTGAAGGGGGAAATAGGCGTGTCCCCTGGTGGTCACCTGGTGGTCACTGGTGGTCACCTGGTGGTCACTGGTGGTCACCTGGTGGTCACTGGTGGTCACTTGGTGATGGCAGGTAGGGGTGTCCACAGTAGTTCATTGATCTCTGCCCTCTCTATCTTCCTTCGTCTCGACTCCTTACTTATAGCCAGCCGAGGTTCTCTCTTGGATTCTGGATGTTTGCTTCCGTATGTCTGTGTTCCTCCGACTTCGGCCAATATCTTGGATAGCGGCTCCTCATTCGCCACAAACGGCTTCCTTCCTGGTGGAAGCCGGCCCGCCTCGGATGACACTTGTGGCTCTGACAGAAATGCCTGGGAGTCCTGTCACTTATATATCCATCTCTCCTTCACTGATCTCGTTGGATCACTCCTATTCTTCGTGATCCGTCACGTGACCTTCTCTAGTCGGTCCGTCCTTCTCCGTTCCTATCTTCTATCCTTGTTTCCGGTCCTTTCCTGCAGGTATCCACCTAAGGCCTGCCAACGGGGCCTATTCTGGTGTTGGTTAGGAACGTGGTTCGTAACATATACTTTATCTAAAAACTAGTAGAATTCGCTTTTCTAGGTTTTTCTTAAGCCCTTTTTGGAGAGTTTAGAGAGGGAGGTAATATGAGAATAAGTATCAAGGCGTTATATCTTCTATAGAACAAATTTCTTATCCTAATTAGACATAGTCGTATCTAGTACTAATGAATTAGGAATTTCCTTTGAAAGCAGTAGATTGCTACTATGCGGTATATTAGTTAACGATGTTAGGATTTTAAGTAGTTTGATTTTATTTTGATGTCATTTGTATTTACCTTTCCAGTCTCTCCTGTACCTTGAGTAGGGCTATTAAGGTAGTGTTAGGCAACCTTGGTGGGCTTTGCCAAGACCACCAAGGTTACCACGTGACTTAGCCCTTCGGGACTAAGTCCAACCTTCGTGCTCCATAGGACTAGATAGAATGTCATGCTTTTACAACCTCACAAATCTTTGACCACCTTTGCGTGTAACAGGTAGTATTCTATTTTAGACTGTTTAAACTATCATAGGGAAGATTCTTTAACTACTATAGGTAGTATTAGCGGTAGTTAGTCCAATCACTCCCTTGTGATCTTGAGGCGAGACTCTGCACATGCCACATCCCACGCGACTCCCAGGATCAAGTGGGAGCAAGAGCATGTGACACGCCTGTCTGCTGCTATCGATAAGAAAAGCTTAGCAAAGCTAAACTACTGGAGAATCGACAGACGGCGATGCATCAGAAGCTTTGGACAGTTGAGGAATTCCATCCCACTTTACCACAAACACGATCAGCTCCCACGTGGACGATTGTGATCTCCATGAATACGCCGCTGACTTGATCTGTCTGTCGAGCGGGTGACAGGACACACGGCATCATCGCAGTGGAATAACGCAAAAGTCGTCGCCTCCTTTGCCACTATTCCTCCAGGATCGACCCTGGAATCAACCTGCAATAGAGGTGAAATAATAGTGGAATAAAGGCAAAAGAACACTGGTCATCCTAAGCTGTCTCAAGGCTGTCCCAGGTTGTCCCACTGCGTCATCCCAGAAAATTCCACTGGCCATTCGTTCTTGCGCCCGCAACGACCAGACATCACGGCCAGTCAAGCTTCGCAACCGCAACAACCTGTTCCTCGGCAATCGTTCAAGATGGCAGACATGTTATAGGGGTTCGGATGACCGTGGTACTCCGGTCTGGCTATTCCATGACTGGAGTAGTTGCTCAGATCATCCCCAATCAAGTACTGGTTCTGCATCAGGTTCATTCCAATGTAGGCCAGTACGCTGAGACGGTACACATCGACCCGAACGATATTGAAGATATCTTCGATTCCAGCAGAATGCCTGCTGTGACAAACCCCTCGGGGGCCGGTCCGCTGGGTTTCACAGCACCCTCCGCCAATGCCATCCCTGCGCCGATCGTTCCTTCCTCCAATACACCAACATTCCAGGACCCTGCAATTCTTAGTATGGGACGGCGTCCTGGACCGAATATCGGAGAAAAGAGAGACCCTACACCGCCAGCCATCACGAAGATCACCAGCCTTGTTAAAACTCTGGAAGAGGCGCCAGGAACGACCAACATACACCTATCAAGCGCCTTGAGGAAAGCTTGGGTAAGTTAAGCATCGTGCCTCCGGGCCAGAGACGGACCAGAGACGGGACCAGAAGCGGAAGTGACGCCGACAGCGCCCAGCGCTCCGGCGCAAGACGGAAGACACGCCGCAAGCAGAAGGGTAGTCGAAGCCAGCCTGAAGGCGAGAATACGCCCGTCACAGTCAAGGAAACTGATGAAGCGGGGGGCCAAGGAGGCTCTGGCTCTGGGTGGAGGCAAACACCGATTCTACAGGTCAGTACCCTGCCCCTTTATGGCAACCACCGTGGTAATTTGCCAATTGCTCATGTGGGAATTCAGTCGACCAAGTCATTCCAGCCTTTCGCATCCCTTAAGAGGGGTCAGAAGCCGAATGCTGATGGCTGGGCCTCGGAGGATGTCACCGATGTTCAAGGCGCTGGCGATTTCGACTTCGAGGGTAATCTCACCAAGTTCGACAAGCGAAACATATTCCAGGAGATGCGCCAACAGGACAAGGTTGATGATGCTGAGCGCCTCGTATCCCACAATCGTCTTCCGCGCTCGAAACCTGGTACCGCCGGGGGAAAGAATCTACACTACTCGGAGAACGTCCTAGATATGCCATCAACTTCGTCGGCCGCACAGGCACCGGGGTTAGTATCGAAGCTGAAAGAAACCCCCGACGACTTTTGGAAAAGCGAAGCTGATGATACTAACATGAATGGAGGGGAACGACTGAGTGGTAGAGAAGGCAGCGGGCGAAGTTCACGCCTTAGGGGGGAATCTCGAATGTCGACGAGACGCTCCCGGTCCCGGAAGGCGAGTGCCACGCAAAGTATCCTTGGGCCCAGCAGAATCAACTCGGCCAGCCGCCTCCGGCTACAGCTGAAGGTTTCTATTCTATGGGTTCAAGTCGACGGGTCGAGACAGTCACCCATCTGCAAATGCTTAATCTTGAGAATATTGCGCACAATGAGATGGGTCTGACTGAAGATCTCATGGCCGAGAATGCTGGGCGGAGCATCGCCGAGGTTGCCCTGTCGGCCCTCAACGATCCAGCCGTAACACTTCGTAACGCTGCCGCTTCCCCTGGGCCAAATACGCCTACTATCGTCGTCATGGCGGGAAACAACAAATCAAGTGTACGTGCCATCTCAGCTGGACGTCATCTTCGAAACCGAGGCATTAATGTCCTTGTTTGTGTGGTCGGCATCGAGCGAGAAAAGGACCTGATCGAAGAGGTCCAGAAGCAGATTAGGCTCTTTCGCAATTTCGGCGGCGCTGTGCTCTCCAAGACGCAGCTTTTCAAGCAGCTCAGCAAGGCCACTACGAGCCTCAATTCATCGCCACAGATCTCTGTCACCCTTATCGTTGACGCTCTTCTCGGACTCTCGATCGCTTTCGAGGAATTACGCAAGAGCGATCAAGCTAGTACCTACGAATTGATGGAGTGGGCCAATCGCAACGAGGCCTTTGTTATGGCTGTTGACGTACCCAGTGGAATAGATCCAACAGCCGGAAAGGTTAACATCATCGACGGCGCGAGGCTTTACGTCCACCCCCGATACGTAATTGCTCTTGGGGCGCCGAAACAGGGACTGCTGAGAGCAATGCAGATCGGCTACGAAGAGCAAGCCGACATCGCAGTCGAGGACTGGAAGCTCTATTTAGCGGACATTGGCCTAGGTGCCTCGACGATTTGGCGGAAAGCGGCCACCAAACTGCGTCGTGGGATTGGTATTGACTTCGGGATAAGTGGGTCATGGAAATGCGGTATCAGCAGCAACTGGACAAGCCTCTGGAATGAGGTGGCATAGCATCGTCACTTTATCATGGGGTCCCATGGGTGAATGAAGCTGCCTCGGTTTTATTCCGCTGTCTATTGAAGTGGTATCGCACAGAACAAGACATGGTTTTCGCATGGGAATTATTCCATCTCACTGCTGTTGTCCTGGCAATTTGGGAGAAGCATACAAGTCATGTGCTTGAGCCTTTGAATTTAGCATAGCGCTGGTGTTGGCGGTATAGTTGATTTTGAAACCGAGAGCCATTTAAGAATATCAGCTACATTTCTTTCTACCAATCCATACAAGTGTAATATGTCATCTCAGCAAGCTTGATGGCTCGTCATGCTCAATTGCTGGCTTCATTGAGGAGAAGGGCTCGGACGCAGGTGACAGATATTTCAGTCAAGACGTATACACTTGCAAGTTATAAGATCCAAAGTTGGTGGATCTTCCAAGCCTGGGAACTACTGATTAATGTATTTGTGTCGCTAGGAGAGTTGCAAACACAATACAAGAGTCCTCCATTGGACATTCAAAGTCAAGACACCACTCTAGGGGATGAGTAAGCCCACTCACAAGTCACATCTTTGGTTTGCCTCTTGGGTTTGCGCATGCAGGTTTACCTCACCGCCAGGCCGCGTTTTGCAGTTAGTGCGAGAGTATTAGTAAGCTCATAGATCGACACGTGTGGATTAGGTTCACATATGACCGACTCGAAGAACTCGGAGACGAGCTCGGGGTTCGGACTATTAGTGATATACTTGGCCGAGTATTCGGCTCAGCGCCCACGGCCATAGATAGATCAATAAATTCCTTCCTGAAGTGTCTGGAATTAGCAGGTAGTTATACGCTATATATCACTCTTCTACACATAATTAAATGCCTCAGATTGGTTATTATCTATATTTATGATACAGTCCTAGGCGAAAATGTCGACAATCCGCCACAGCGTCCTCATTATTGGCATAAAGTTCAATGCCCCTATTCCAATCATTTCAGAGATGTATTCGGGCCAGCAGAGGGACTCGCCGCAAAGCTGGAAGCCGACAGTGCGCGTGCTGCCAAAGCCGGATTCAACTGCCATCTGCATCAGCTCGATCCAGTCCAGCCCGAAGAAGCACTCAGGGAGCTTGAGGCAAAGCTCAAGACCGGTTCATATTGCGGTGTGATGTGGGCGGTGGCCTAAGACTCTTGCCAGAAAAGACGGCTTTGTTTGAGGCAATCATCAATTTGTTCAGGGAGTTGGTGTCGAATGTCCCATTTATGTTCAATACGGGACCGGATACCATATGTGATGCTTTGGAGAGGAATTTTGGGGTGAAAATTGAATAAGGGAATCAAGTCAGTTTTTAACTGTGGTCAGGGAGGACTTGGACCTTTCTCTTATATGGAAATGCCGAAGGTGGACACATTGAAGGACAGCTGAATTATGTTTAGATTTTATAGAAATGAGGTCTAACTACTTCATAGCTTCAGCTGTCGAATTTCCAAGACCAATGTGACTTAATAGCGATGCGTGTCTCGGGCGATTTTAGCAGGTTGCTAGCAGGTGGCCTCAACGATAGCACTCACAGAGACGCCATGCAAGATCTGCGTATGGTTTGCATTTTCAATTATCCGTCTCCTAACCTGAGGCTTTTTTTGCGTTGATATTCGAAGAGGTAGGAGACAATGCGGGCCACGGTTAAAGGTTGTATCCAGCGTTGATTACATTTAAGCTGCGAACAAAATCCATTGTAAAACACTAGTATGTACTTCAATACAATCATAAAGGGTTTCGATGAGATGAGTCTCGCAAAGAGCAATTATAGATGGAAACTATTGTGTTTTGATGTTTTATTACTATATGCAACGGCCACAGCGTCGTTATACATGTATAGATAGGTTGTGCTAAGCTAAGATGGTCGAGGAGGGCAGTGGTGGCTAGTGGGCTTTCCGTAATGGAAGAGTGGAGGAGCTTTGACACATGCCTTCATCTCACTTCACAATATTCATGAGTGTATGAGGTGGATTCGCTGCCTTGCTCCTGTAGCTGTACCAAAGAATGGCTTCGTGAGGACACCAGTCTTGACCCCAGGTATGGGATTGGATTTACTTGGTTGGCATACGTTGATGTATTAAGTAAAGTATATGGAGCTGCCTTGTAACCTACGGGGACGAGGAGATCAAATTGGATGCGAACCACAATGGGAAGCAGCGCGCTGCCACCCAAGCAGGCCGTCATTACCGGTCCGGCATAGGGACTCTGTCTTCCCCATTTTGCCTCACAACTGGGCCGCACGCAGCAAAAGTTCTCTCTCTCATAGTACGCTTACTCGACCACGTCGGGCTAATCCGACTCCGTCATCACCAAAGCCCCAACACCTTCTTTACCTCTACGGCCACAACGATCTTGTAGCTCCGATATGTGGTTCCCAAAATAACCTTCTTTTTATATCAGCAGGTCCTATGAAAAGATGTCAAATTACATCAACTTAAAACTTCCTGTTCTGAGCTTCAATTTCTCATTCCTGGAGTAATGAGGTGAAAATTGAATTTGCCGGGGTATTTCATGCTCTTTTCCAGTCAATGCAACTCGATGGAATGGCCAATCAGGCCGACTTCTTCTCCGAGATCACACTTCGTAGCTCAAATGATTCAGGATTAGACCAGCAAGTTTCTCTTCATGATGCGGGAGCGGATGAGAACGTGGCTCTCCGCTATGCCGCATTAGATGAAAGGATACCTTCTCACAACGACGGTTCGTACAGACAGGTATATATTGGTTTGGACACTGAAAGGGAACAACGTCTTCATAACAGAAACTCGTATAGGGGATTTATCCGCATCATGGAGTCAACACCGCGTCGCCAATATCAGCGACCATGTCGCCGTTCAGAGAGATCTTGTCCCCTTCTAGAGAGACCAGTTACCTGTAGAGGAACCTCGTCACCTCCCAGAGAGACCCTGGTTAAAGCAAGGACATAGATGCAAGTTGAGACAGACGTTGTCATCGTAACGTTGCAAGTATACCGGAGCAGACTAGGCGAAAGTCAGGAATACATTCAAAGGTACTACCTGGAAAACGACTACACCCTCCAGACCGTGGTAATCATAGGGAAGGAACCTCACAACTTTCGAGCAACTTAAGTCCAACTAACTCCCTTGCCAATCGTAACTGTCTAAGTTGAATGTAATTTGAAAATGTACAAGATACAATTAACCAAGTGGGGTTTTCGAAAGAGCTTCACTGAAAAAAACTGCATAACCTACTTAGAGGTGTTGCCGTCAGGAAGGTGGTTCGAAAGACTACTGATGCTGCCCACATCGGCCGCTACTTCAATTGGAAGACGTCCAAGTAACACGACGTGGATGAAGATGAACATCATGGACCTTCTTTCATCAAGGATGTGCTACAGGGATCCAGAGTTTAGGGAATGACTTGCTAGGTGGTATTTTCACATTGGTGGGACATTCAAGTCTTCTTTTGCAGTATCTTGGCCTTGATGCAACACACCGTAGCATGGACGGCATTGACGATCATGTAATGTTCCAACAGGCGATGATAGTAGATAGAATTGGGGTTTCATCTTCAGGGACCGGAAACTGGGTCGGGGCCTCAGTGCATACAGGCATCGTAGAGGGGCCGGGTCAATATTACGGCATTCTGTGGTATCGCACTTGAATATAGTTGTAAAGTAGTCGTTAGTAACATAGGCAACTTGCTTTAAAGTAACAAGTGCATGTTGATGAATATGTGAAATACCCTAACCTCAGATAAGGTACAGCACTGCCAGAGAATCTAAGGACCCACAAATACATGCTTCTACTCGGACTAAGTGTTGAATGGTCAACGGTATAAGAGTGGTTGGCTCAAATATAATGGGTAGAACCCGAGCAGCCATTCCCAAGTTACGTATACGCTATAGAAAAACTATGCCTAGATCTCGGAAAACTTAATTCTCGAACCCACGCAAGGTTTCTTCCTAGATTGGTACAGCGAGTTACATGTTTTTTAATGCACCAAAAGCGTCTCATTTCTCCGGAACGAGACTTCAAGGTTGTTTAAATCGATGGTAAGTCCTAGGCATCATGTGCCCTCTACGATCAATACTTGAGGATACCCCGTCTCTCATCAACGAAAAGGCGCGCATCAGTGGGAAAAACAAGCAAACATAGTCACCATGGCTTCAAACGAAGTTGCTCCTAGCCATCACGAGCCCATCACTATCACAACTGTTTCGACCGAAATTGCTCGCAGCCATCATAAGGCCACAAAAGCTTTAAAACCAGAACCTGTGATGGAAACTCCCAAATATGCTCCATCTGTCAAGAACCCAAGATCGCAGCTTCTGACACCATTACCTGACATTTGGATACCATTCCACCAGCTGTCTCGGCATCTGGCGTAGACGACATTCCACACACGCACTGACCTTGCTGTCGATGGTTCCTGCACCAGGCATCGTTCCCGAAATGGAGAAGGACGAGGCGTCCCATCGCAGCGCCTGTTCCGAAACTTGTTCGAAATTCTAGACGCGTTGATGGGCGACGAGTCAGTGGTCAAAGAAGGGAACAATCTCTTGGAGAGCATACGGAAATTCAAGAAGACAATACGATAAGCCGACGCTGTTCGTACTGCGGATGGCGGGCCCGGAGGTTGACGAAGTAGAGGTTTATGCTGATAGTAGGTGGATATTCCAATGGGGGTAAGTTGATTGTGCGGGCAGTTCTGAGGATAAAAGCCGTGCTAAGTTGGTTGTGAAAAAGCAAAAGGAAAACACACTGAAAATGGATCAATGGCATATCTTCTAACGGCTACATAATATACTCACAACGCTCGAGTTGTCAAGAGGATATCACAGCGCTGTTTGCGTGGCTGAACACCCGATGACTCCGCAATCGGTATCAGCGCCCTATATATCACAATTTGAGGGTAGTATCATCTTCGCAGCATAAAAAGCCTGTTAATTGCTTGAGTATTAATATTCGTCCCAACTAACGACACTTCGTGAGACACAGCTTCGCTCTAGAGCTGAGTCATGCACAAAGCCTAAAGAAAGGCGAATGTAATGATAAGTATAAGTTGACTTCGCCTCTGTACTAGAGGTCTTTCTCGGAGGCATGGAAGATGCTTCGTGTATACTACGAAGCACACTTGAGGTTTTTTCTTATGATGTTGCGACTTGAGGCCATGTACCCGTAACAATTATTGCGGTGAGTATATATCCTTTGTTGAAGTCAGTGGGATGTAATGAGCTTTTCGTTGCCTCACAGTGTCAAGAGTGGTTAATGGCGCCAAATACCTGCATCGAATACAGTTTCGCCAACCGGTGGATTTATAGACCATGTCTCATGTAACAGAATCGATGAAAAAGTCATTTCTCCCGAAGTCACCCCATACATATTAACTCTGTGAGAAGATCTGTTGATTAATATTGCTCTTGCTGTTGGGGACAAGTTTCAGACCACAGAACTCGCTTCCTGAGATATTCGAAACAGTCACTATGAATCGACAACATTCCACCGCCGATTTGGACAACAACACGGCCGACGAAGATCAAGGAGAAAAACGCCTTACTGGTAAAATTTCCCAGCCTACAATTAAAGATGCACCAGAGGAAGAAATTATATGCTCGATATGTCTTGGCCATGACGAGACTGAAATCTCTGGCTTAGTAACCTACCCTGCCGCCACACATTCCACCAGCGGTGCATTGACAAATGGGCGCTAGACTCCAAGAAGATTCAATGTCCATACTGCCGCAGCTCCCTGCAATATAAGCGCTGCCGCCATCGTTATTTCTCGGTTCAATCGCCACCCAACATAATTCTGCCACGCCACGAATTCGAGGGCGCCTGTCGAGTCTGTGCTCCCACGCCCCTTTCCCAGGTCTGGTTCCAGCAAAACTCCAACCTCCATAATGGCGGAGCCGTCAACGCGGAGGACGCAGATGCCATATACTAGAGCTACATACGAAGAAAGACCCTTACCACCGTGCGTCCTCCTCCTCCGAGACAAGCCAAATATGATCACCTCCTGTGGGCCATGGATGTGATCACAGGGCTAGCGATGACAAGGAAAGCGGTAGCGCTGATCACTAAAGTGAAAGAGCAGCTTCAGGAACTGCGCTGGATATTAAAGATCCTCAGGTCGTACGAAAGACCCAACAGTACGACGTGGGGCCCGAGATGGTTGAGATGGTTTTGGACGTGGCCAGCGCTGATGGATGCTTCGGCCGACAACCAGATCAAGCTATTTGACCTGCCCGAGATCCGTCAGAGCTGTGTTAATTTTACCCTCATCGGAGGGCCATATGGCGTGATTAGGTGGAGGGGTGAGGTTGATGCTCAGGGCCATCAAGGGGGTAACTCTTTTGTAGCGACTTGCCAAGCTCATTTGATTGTTAAAACGCGTGTTCTCTACTGGTATACGTTCTT